ACAATCACTTTCCTACAAACAGTTGAAATCTCTCTAAAGTTAAATACTGTTGTAACATAATTTACTTAGTAGATCATAATGTGTTGACTTTTCTTTCGTAGCATGATCCTTGTATGACCGACTATTTCATGTGTTCCTTACTCAAGCAATTTTAATTAATTGGTATTCGCCTGAGGGCAGAAACTGGGATATTAGCTATCAGTTCCTACTCTTTGGCTCAACAGTCATTATACCGAGCACCTATTTAGCACACCGGTATTACTGATGTCTTATACCCAGCACCTATTTAGCACACCGGTATTACTGATGTCTTATACCCAGCACCTATTTAGCACACCGGTATTACTGATGTCTTATACGGAGCACCTATTTTGCACACCGGTATTACTGATGTCTTATACCCAGCACCTATTTAGCATACCGTTGCTACGTACTTACGAGTATTCCTTTTCCTGATAAACGATGTGTTGTTGTAATTTTGAACTCAGAAATCAATCGTTGATGGGGGGTTTTTTTAATCTGAGCCTAATTATGCAAAACGATCAAACAAACACACAAGTCCCTCGCTTGTTCAAGATTATTGGAGACGATGTCATATTGACCTAGCACTATATTTGGTGCTCGTCCTTCTGTGGTCGGTGTGGGGTTGAGGCTTTCTAAAACCATATTTCCGCAATATGAAATAACTCTGTCTTTTTCTCTCCTCCTTCTTTCCTGGTGGGCTGGTTATGGGGGGGGGGGAGGGTCTGATGACGTAGCTGTGCTATTTTTTTGGTGCTCAGATTTTCTCAGCTGTTATTACTGTTAAAAAAGAACGGTCTTGTCTTTACACTCTTCCTTCTAAAAAAAAAAGTAACTGCATGTTCTTGTATGACCTGCTCTTACTATCTTCAGGGAGAGGGGGGGGGGGGTCCAGTGGTCGAAGCGTTTATGAGATAATGCTTTACAAATTAGAGTGTCAAGCTTTGTCGATGCGACAGCTGTAAGATGGTTGAACATTGGGCTGTGTCCTTAATAAACCTAGTTTGAACCAAAAACCAAGATGGGCATCGTGGCGACCAGCAATAGCGTTTTTGCGTTGTTTGCATTGATTCTATAATTATTTATTGTCGTTGTCATTGATCATAGTAGAGATTTAACGCCCCTGTAAATTTATTTAAGGGGCGGGACATCGGAATTTAACGTCTGTCTCCGATAGGTCTGAGCCAAAATGGGTGTAGAGCCTTAAAAACTCAACAACAAAAAAACAACCCAAGTTCAGAAATCACGTTGAGGTTTCGAACCAGGGACATTCACTTCGTTGTCTAGAATGATACCAACCGAACTAACGGTTTGGCCACGCTATATTGTGCATTATGGAACGTTGACATAACCTCTATATTTTTGTATGTATGAAACATGTACCGGCACATGTTATTGTAACCTAGATTGCCCCATGAGAATTTTTTAAAGAGATATCTTTTTTTTGTTTATATTCCGTATTTTTTAAACAAATAATAATAATGATGATGCAGATCATTTCTGTAGCGCCCACTCCCGTGTGGACACAGCTCTAGGCGCTTTACATAAATGCATGTACGAATAATATTCACGCACGTGTGCACACAAACACACACACACACACACACACACACACACACA